GCCACATCCAGAAATACTCAGATGACACTGCTATTGTGGCACATATTAGAAATGAACATGAAGCTGAATACAGAGATCTAATAAGCCTTCGGTGACTGGAGTCACAAAAACTGCCTCCTCCTCAACACCTCAAAGACAAAGGAGATGGTCATTCAGCCGGCGAAAACCTGTGGAGTGGACATCGAATTGGTGACATCATATAAATACCTAGGTGTACATCTGGATAATAAGTTGGACTGGTCTAAGAATATAGACTTCATCTACAGAAAGGGGCAGAGCTGCTTCTTTTGCCTGAGAAGACTCCGATTAATAGACATCTGTAGTAAGACGCTGCAGATGTTTTATCAGTCTGTGGTGTCTACAATGTTCTGTTCTACGCTGCAGTCTGCTGGGGAGGAAACATTAAACACAAAGATGCAAGGCGTCTGAACAAACTGGTAAAAAAGGCTGGCTCTGTGGTAGGACTAAAGCTGGACTCAGTGGAGGATGTGGTGGAAAGATCTACACTGAGGATGGTGGAGTCTATTCTCAAGAACATGGATCACCCACTTCACAACATCTTGATGGACCAAAGGGCAAATAGTGGTGGACGGCTCCTCTCTCTTCGCTGCAGGACAGAAAGATTCAGAAGATCTTTTGTACCCACAGACATCAGACTTTACAACTCTTCTATAAATAGAAGATGACTTTTAGAAATGTGACAAACGAGACTACAGATAATTGAATTTCCTTTTGGTGATAAATAAAGCTCTTATCTTATCTTGTTAGGGAGACAGGGCAAACGCACCGAAGCACTGGCCCCTATACAAAAGTATGGGGGCCTGTGCCGGGGCAGTATTGTTATACAATGGATACAATGGAAAAATTTCAACTCACTTCTAGTCCTAAAGCTTGAAGAGTTGTAGGACAAATTATATATCAAAACGTGCAGTTTGTCCGGGATTGGTGTGCCCTAACTTTTCTCTATTGTATATGAATTTTTCACAATGTATGTCACGAAAAACTGCAGCATTATTTCCTGAGGAAATTTTGGTGCGGTGGCTAGACTTGTGAAACAATCTGTATTGAGTCAGTTAAAGCCATACCCTTCCACCCTACTTCCACTTTTACAGCGATGACAAACAGCTTTAAGTTAGCACAAAACCATCCAGCAAACCACCCCTAGGTGGTGCAGCATCCACCCATCCTCCAAGGTCTGCAGCCTGGGTGTCACCATGGACTCCATCCTCTCCATAATCATTCATGCTTACATCACCTCCTGTCTTGATTACAGTAATGGAGTCCTGTCTGGGGTACCCAACAAATCTCTGGACAGGCTCCAGTATGTTCAGAACTCAGCTGCCAGGGCTCTCACCTGTTTCACATCTTTCAGCCCGCGCAGATCCTGCTTTTTCCATGCTCACCGTCAAGAGTTCATAGGAGGGGTCAGGGATGGTGTATAGGCAGCTGACAACACCCACACAGACAAGGCAGCATGAATAGCTGTATGTTTTCCACACAAAGAAACACATAAACAGAATTGAAATAAATGTACCCATTACAGCTTTGACCTCACTTTAATAGACAAACTCATTCCCAAGGTCGACATAAAAATGACCACACAAAACCAGAGGATAAACACAGGTTACAGCTTTTGCTGTCATTGTGAGCAAAGAGGCAAACACACCTCAAATGTGAGCCACTAATAAATACAGGACTAGTGTTAAACCTACATAACAGATCATACACACATACAAACACACACACAGGATTTGTATGGCACAGGATTTGTGCCTGGGTGTACACACTACACACATACTTATGATTATTTCATATAAGTTCCACACAGACAGTACATGTGTATGGGTTGTTGTGCACATAATACATGCGTACTTCCGGATGCACATATGCATGTGTGTTTTTTTCCTCAATATTCTGTTGAGCTGATGTGCATTTGTGGTCCATTTGATACGATACCTGTTCACCTTTATTGTACAGCTCAAAGGTCAAGTCTAGTTTTGATTCTGGAGTGGAGGATTAGGGTTCAAATCCCCGCTGCTTTCCTCTCCACATTATTGTGTTACTTTAGATCACGTATTTGAGCGGTTTTCCATTTAAACTTAAACAAAAAAATCTTAAAAATTAATGAATAATTAATTAAACAGTGGCTCAGTGGTCAAGATCGGGGATTAAGAACCAGAATCATTGACTTTGCTCTCTCTGTTTGAATATGAAATGTTACACAAATATGTGCAAGCTGACATTAGACATTGAACTTAGACGTACAAGACTGTTTGAGGGAGCAGGAGTGCAAAGGAATGTTAAGTGATAGAAAAATATATGAACATGTCATCATATAACAGGTAGATTGTGTACATGAGGTAGATACACATTTGTTTTGAATACAGGTTCTACATTAGATATGAAATCATGATGTGCAGAGGTACATGTGTATGTGTTTTCCTCATTCTAGTAAACACTATGAGGAAGAAACCCACCCTCATCATCTTAGTGATTATTTCTCCCTGTTCTCAGGAGTGTTACACACACACTCACACACACACACACACACACACACACACACACACACACACACACACACACACACACACACACACACACACACACACACACACACACACACATGAATTTTTCATGATAACTAGTGGAGAGGCTCTATAAAATATCCACTAGATTCACATCCAGGATTGACAGGAGTAATCCCGTGTCTACCTATCTCCAGAGCTTTATGTGTATGTGTCTGTATGTGTGCCTGTGTGCATGCCTGTGTGCATGAATGTACCTTAGGTGTGTATGCTGAAGTAGTTGTGTAATGTGCTTGCTGAGACAAATGTAATCACAGGATAAAATCCTGAACTTACTACTTCAGACAATTTCCAGGTTCCCACATAAACATTGAAGCCCAAGTGTTCATTGGAAGCTCTCATTCTGTTGATACCTGTACCAGTAAAGCACCCAGAGGATTAACTATGGTCCATAATTACAGACAAAAGATAATTTGGTTGGGGAAGCAGGTGGATGCGAGGCAAAAAGCCTCACACAGTACCACACACAGTATCAAGCAGAGATAGTAGTACTTCTGATGCTATGGTACACCATCTCCTGGTAGAATGGTAGAAGGGTCTGAATATACAAGTGCAACTCCAAAAACTAGAATCTCCTAAAAAGGTTTCTCCATAATATCATTCAAAAAGTGAAACCCCTCAAATCTATTCAAGACTATTTTGTTTGAATCTTGATGGCTCACAGCTCATGAATATCAAAAATCTACTATTTCAAAACATCAGAATGTTACAAAACACCAATCCAAAAGAGGGATTTGTAATCCAGAAAAGCTGACCTGGAAAATTATTCTCATTATTGGTTGGGGTTCCTGCACAAATTACTGCATCAATGTGACATGTCATGGAGTCTGTGTCTCTGCTGGAATACTGTGTTGCTGAGCTCCTTCAGCTCATCTGTATTGTTGCTCTGGTGTCTCTCATCTTTCTCTTGATGATACTCCAGAAATTCTCCATGGGGTTCAGGTCAGACTAGTTGGCTGGCAGTCTAGGTGTTGTGGGCAGGTGCTAGGTCCCACTGGAAAAGGAAATCTGGATCTACATAAAGTGTCTCAGCAGATGGGCACATAAAGGTCTCTAAAATCTCCTGGTAGACTTTAAGCTGCATTGACTCTGGACTTTATAAAACACAATAGACCAATAGATAACACGGTGCCCCCAGTCACTACAGACTGTGGAAACTTCACGCTGGACTTAAAGCACCTTGGATTCTGAACTTCCTCCAGACTGTGGGACCTTGATCTCTAAAATTGCATGCTTGATTAACTCTAATCTGAAAATAGGACTTTGGACCACTGAGCAATAATCCAGCTCTTTTTCTTCTTTGCCCAGGTAAGATACCTCTGATGTTGTCTCTGGTTCAGGAGTGTCTCGACAATAAGACTACAACACTTGCAGTCCATTTCCTGGACTTGTTTGTGTGTAGTGGCTCTTGATGTTCTGACTCCAGTCTGAGTCCAGTCCTTGTAAAGCACCCCTTAGTTCTTGAATCTTCTCTGTGTGACAGTCCTCTCAAGGCTGCACTCATTCCTGTCTCGGTCTTGGTCTCCTTTTCCTCCAGACTGCATCATGATTGTGGTTCAGTGAGTGAGGGGATAAAGACTTCTTTGCAAACTTTTGCAGGTGTTCATTGTGAAATAGCTCGTTACAGCACTAAAACAGGTGACAAGAAACTGGACTTTTCCACAGTATTCTCATGTTTCGAGATAGTGGATTTTTTGTGCGCTGTAAACCTTAATCATCATCAAGATTAAGATTTCCTTTTTGAATATTTAGAACATTTTTCAGGACACATTTTTTTGAGCTGCTCCAAATGTCAGAGAGTTTCTACACAAATACGGAACAGGAGCCGAACTGTACAGACTTTATTTTGAGAGGGTGGTATTTGTCCAACTGTATAAGGACCTGCCTGTATTATTAGTAAAGCCCTCAGTCTCATCAGACAGCATAACCACTGCTTTGGGAGGATATTGTGAAATCAGATGATAGTATATATTTAACAATACTCAGGGGTGATATCAAGGAAATAACAAGAAACAATCTTGACTTGTGGCAATGTTATTCAGTGTCTGTAGTAAAACCTGCAATTTATCTTGCTGAAATGTCCTATTTATTTATTTATTTATTTAAACATTTACATGTGCACTCGTGAAAATTTTGTGTGTGGAAGTGTTCTCTTTTCAATTCATGTGTATTTATATAAGGAGTGCAAGTTCTGTTACAGTAGACAGCCAAGCTGATAACTTCTATTGAGCTGCTTTTGCTCAGTGTGCAAAGTGAGGACGTGTCAGGGGCCATCTGGGGAGTATTAGTATAAAAGACTGACCAATCTGGTATGAACAAGCTTATTTTTTTTTACCCCTGGCTTTCTTTCTCCTACTCCTCCTCCTGCTCCTCCTCCTCCTCCTCCTCCTCCTCAGTTGCTTTTCTCTCTCACGCTTGAAATACACATGCTCCAGAAGGAAAGACTGGGGAAGAAAGACAGAGGCTTGGTGAGGAAGAGGCAGGGTGGGACAGTGAGTGAGGTCAACTTGGATCCAAATCTACTTGTGCAAGAACTGATAAAAGACACAAGACGGAAAGTTCTGGAGCAACTACTTTATCAAAACTAAAAAAAACTTACTGAGGGCAACAATAAGGAGAATAAAATATCATCAGCTGTTTGAGGACCTTCAAGGTTTCTTTTCATCACTGCGAAATATTCAAACTGTGTCTAATGCTGTTTGGATCAATCATCTTTTTCTCCCTTGGCTTATTTTTGGTGATTGATTAAGTGGTTTATATTCAACACAGGACTTCAGACAATCACAGGAAAAGTCTGATTGTTTATGACAAGGAATTTCAGACACTGAAATATTGAAGCTTCGATTGCAGCAGAGATTGTTTCAACGTTTGGTTGTCAAGTTGACAATAGCCAGAAATGTCGTACAGAGTGCACTCCATTTTTTTCCTATGTCTGAGTCTTACCCTTGGTTCAGTATGGAGCCAGGGGTCTCCCCAAGATGCCTTCATTCTTCAGTACCTGGAAAGAAGACTGGCTCAGGTGGAGGTAGGTGCCCCACAGCATTTCTTATTAACACCGTCATTCATCAAAGCACTTTCACCCAAAATCCTAAAAACTATTGATTATAAATAGCAATATGAGTTGTCGATTAGTGTATTATTTTACTATTGCTACTGCCCTTTGTAAACAGTTCATTTTTTTTTCCATATTAGATTTTTCCATAGCCCCTCCTACTGGGCATTGGTAATTACATAACTTTCAACAAAAACACATTTTATTCATTTTTTATTTTATTTTTTTATTTAACCTTTATTTAACCAAGTAAGAAAACCCATTGAGATCGAGATCTCTTTTTCAAGGGTGACCTTGCTGAGAGGTCAGCAGCACATGTCACGATAATAACAATAAAATTCAAGGACAAAATAAGTTAACACAAACAGTACTTTTGAAAATTCATAGGAAATTTCCGATAAAGTGATAAAGTGATAAAGTGCAGGAGAAGAAATGACTTTCAAAGACATAATTAAAAACACAGGCACTGTACCATGGTCTCCCAAAGTCTGTCATGTAAGATTGAATGAAACGCTTCCAGCAAAATTAATTCAAACAATTTCAGGTCAGTCTGGAGAGTATTCCATGCTGAAGTGGCAGCAAAACTGAACGCTTTTTTGCCCAGTTCAGTTCTGACTCGCGGAACAATCAAATAGACTGTATTGTTAGAGCACAGGTTGGCTTTCAGTTCTTTGAAGAAAGAGCTGAGCCAAGAAAAACCTTATGAATTAGAGTGTCCAGTGAGTGTACCTGTGAGTACTCAGAGAAGGCCAGCCAGATTTGGCATAAAGTTTGATTTGATTATTACTGGTTGCAGTCGCCTAATGCAATGCTGCGTTAATAGTAGTAAACCTCAGCGCACAGTGATAAACAGTAGTCAAGGACTGTAGGCATTTGGCTGAAGAAGTCATATATAAAATATCACCATAATCCAACAATGGAAGAAAGGTTGGAGATACTCAGCATTTTTAAGCACTGAGGGAGAAGCAGGATTTACTCCTGTGATAGAAACCTATTTTTAATCTGAGTTTAGTGACCAAACTGGCAATATGTCCTTAGAAAGAAAGCTCATGATCAACAAGAAAACCCAGATATTTATAGACAGACACAAGCTCAATGAGTACACCCTGTGAAGTTAAGATAGAGGGGATGTTCCCGGGTAACTCATTCCTGCTTAACAATACCATGAGTTTTGCAAATAATATCATATTATATAATCATATTCAAATAATTTTAAACCTTTTAAACTGTCGAATCGTTCACTGTTTTTTTATTTAATTTTTTTACAATTTTAAGCAGGATCTTAGATTAATCTTTTGTGCATTACCTTTTTTTTTTTTTTTTGTTACAAACAACCAAAGATTGCCTTTTTCTGAATCATGTTACCACTTTTGCCTGCCATACCAACATATTTAATTGTGGAAATCAAATTAAATAAGTTGCTTGGTCGCATGAGCAGGCATGACAGAGTGTAAACACAACACACCTTCTACAGGTAAATGGATGTGATTGTGTGAATGTATGCCTCAGTCAAAATGGAGTTCCCAAGTGTGCAGCCTTGGTTGCTCTTCACAGCAGAGAAAAGAGGAGGACACAGGAACAGGAGCTGTTTTTACCAGGGGATTTGTGACACTGAAGGGAGGGCAACATTTGGGGTGTATGTAAGTATGTATGTGTGTTAGCATATGTGTGTGTGTGCACATGTGAAAGAGTCCATGACTCTGTGGACTGTCCACAGTCACCACCCAGTAGGCACCCCAGGTATCTTGTCTCCTGGCAGGCTCACTCACACTTGCTAAAGTTCAGGGCCAGCCCAGCCTGCTGGAGTTTTCCAAGGACCTGTTTCAGGTGTTGGGCATGTTTCTCCCAGTTGTTGCTGAAGACCACCATGTCATTCAAGTACAAAGCAATGCAATGACCACAAGCTGGGGGGACTCTACCCATTAGGGGGGGGGGGGGTGCAGAACTGCTGCTGATAAGTCCCTGGTGAAATGTCAAACAATGCCAGTAGGGCTGGTTTCAGGTCCATTAAACAGTGGGCTCTCTCCTTGTCTATTGCAGTTTATGCCTCCATTGCCTTACCAGTCTGTGGTTGAACTGGTCCACTCACTCTCAGACCACTTGCAGGTTTTTGCAATAAGCTCAAACCTCAGCAGATAATTGTCAATTCCCTCACCCATCCGATACTGTGGAAATTTGGGTTACTCAGGTCTTGGCTGACCATCCTGTTTGCTGTCTGTACCTTAGGACTGATGTGAGGAGGCCACTGACTCCTGCCGCAATCACTGGGGTGCTGGTGTTTGCAGTTCAAGCTTTGGGCTGCTTGCAGTCAATGTGCTTGGGGTGGCTGCAGTGACTTGTTGGTTTTGTGTCTGGCTTGCACCACTCTGTCAAGGCTAGGGAACCGGTGGTGAATACTGCCCAATGGAAGAGAGGCCCGTAAACCTTGAGTCTCTGCCAACAGGCCCTCCTCTCTCTCTTTAAACCTAGTCTGGACTAGAAGTTGCTACCTCCTGAAGCTGCTCTTGCTGCTTCAGAGCATGTCCAGGGACAAGAAGTGGGAGAATACCACATTTCCTATATTTATTCTGCAAAAGTCTCTACCTAGCAAATGTGATGGCCAACATAACCTTGTATCAGGCACCACTTAAGAAGCAATGTTTTGAGTGAAGTGATATAATTGCAAGAGGAAGAATGTACTTGGTCAACCAAAGTTTTATTGTTTTCAATCTGTATTGATAACACTTTTTCTCTGTGTCAATCAAATCAGGAGCGTCTCAGTATATGTGAACAGAGCACAGCGGGAGTCACCCAGAAGACCTATGATCTCTCCTCTGAAATCAGGAGTTATCTGTCCACTCTCGGTATTCTGAGGTAGGCCTGTGGGAGAGAAAAACACCTCATAGTAATTTTTCCAAGTGTAAAAATGTAGGAACTACATATTTAGTTAAAGAAATTTAAGTCACTGACTGAAAGACGTTCAGTAGTAACTGTGAACATTTTATTACCTCACACCATAGATCTGAGGTAAGGAGCCAGGTGGACAGTGTGTCTGTCCGTCTAGAGCGGGTGGAGAGGGAGTTGGAATATCTTGAAAACAAGATCCCCCCACAGTCTAATATAGAGATGGAGGAGGCGCTGCTGGAACAGCAAATACAAGCTGCAGAACTCGATCAGCTTCAAAAGAAAGCCAGGATTAAAGTTGAAAAGGGTAAGAAGTAAACCTATGCGTGCCTGTGTGGGTATGTATGTGTGCGTCTGTGTGTGTCTACTGTTGGTTACAGTCTGGTTACTGAAAGTCGTGTTCAAGCAGTGCTTATGATAACCAGCATAGCAAAAAGAACAAAAATGATTTGAAATCTAAAAAAAAACTGTGAAGATACTGAAAATAGAGCATAATGGAAATCCACAGACAAAACACAGTGAACATTTGACTCTGACTGAACTTTATTTAACCCCTGCATTCATCATTTGTCCCATTAAAACAAAGACAAGCTTCCTTGCATGTGTAATCCTGCTTGGCAATAAAGCTGATTCTGAGTGTAATGATTTCCACTCTGATGAAGTAAAATAACAAAACCTTCTTTCATTATCTTCTCCACAAATCCTTCAGATTGCAACAAGGCCCTGAGTGAAATCAAGTCCCTCAAGATTGTGAAGAAGACAGGAGATACACATGGTTGCTGGTTCAAGGACCCCACTGAAGGATCAGCCAAGGTTCATTCCTTTTAAAGAATAACAGTGATTAAATTTCAATGGACCATTTACTAAAGCAGCTGTGTTTCTGTCTGAACTTTGTATTTTGTTTACCTCCATCGGGCCATTGGTTTATGATCACTGTATGTATTATAATAGTCCAATCAAATCCAACTGCACTTTTTTTGTTTTGATTTTTCTTTTTGCTTCCTCCTTGATCTCCCATGATCAGTTTATAAAGAGCTGTACAGCCGTGACAATAATTGCCACTGCAATTTCCCCTGTTTTTTACAGAAATAGATCTGTTACTAGAAAATATCTATTACTTTAAAGCCAATATAGTTTTGTTAGTATATGGCTCTGTCATTCATGTGGGCGTCTCCAAAAAGGAAATTGTTGAATTTCTAATTCAAAAATAATTATAAAAAAGAAAACTTAAAAGTTTTTCCTCTTTTACTTAGCTAATCACATAATAATACTCATAAATAGAATAGAAGGCAGAAATTCAGTTTCACAATGTAAATTTTAACAATCTCTCCTGTAACTATGACTGTCTTTCCCTTAGGTCTACCTGCTCAGTGGAATCCGTAACAGAACCCTGGTAGAATATCCCTCTCTGCGCAGTTTTACAGACAGAACTGCCACACCACAGGCTACTGTTCTGCAGCTGCCTTTTCAGTGGCAAGGAACAGGTCATGTTGTCTACAATGGATTCATCTTCTACCACAAGGCAGATACACCAAACCAGATAATGAAGGTGTGTGACTGAAGTGAAATCTGTAACCTGATGAATGCAAACCCATCAAGGAATTTTTAGATTCAATCAATTTTTGTTTATAGTGCCAAATCACAACAATTGTTATCTCAAAATGTTTTCTGACAGAGCAGGACCAGACCAAACTCTTTGTTTAATGTATAACAGAGACCCAACGTTAAGATGGGAAAAGATTGAGTCCCATCTAGAAATAAGACCCATTCTTAACCCGTCTCGAACCGACATGAGTGAAGCACTCTGCAGCATTAGGGATAAATCACTAAAATAAAACCTGAAATATTAAATATGAAGTAAAGCTAAAATATTTTACCACCTATCAGATCAATTCTTGTACAAACATTTACAGCTTCTAGGTATTAAGTCCTACTTTCTCTGGTGGTCTTGTCTTGTGACCAGTTACTCGTAAAACTAATGAATACCTATCAACCCAAGTTACAAGTAGAAATTAGCCCACAGAACTGATATGCCGTACAAAAAAAGCACTGATAATCAAATAATATTGTTATAACTGATTCTTCTTTTTTTTTTACCTTAAGCATTTCTAAACATTTCCATCCTTCTCCATCTATAAAGGTAGACCTTTTAAATGGTACAGTGGTGGACAGCACTCTATTACCAGGAGCCGGTCGTCTCCCAGTCTATAGCCTAAACCCCAACACCTACCTGGACCTGGCTGTGGATGAACTTGGACTGTGGGTCATACATGCTGACCCTGAGTATGAAGGGAACTTAGTCATTACCAAACTGGATAAAGGTAGAGCATACTAATCCTGAACAGGCACTGTTCTATATAGGTACATATATAATGCATGGCTTAGGTAGGTGGCTTTACTTCACCAACAGTTTTTTTCTATCGCAGGAAATTTGGCAGTAGAGTACACCTGGGACACACGATGTAGAAGTCGTGATGCTGAGGGAGCCTTCTTAATATGTGGAACCCTCTATGTGGTGTACAACACACGTTATGGAGGACGCTCCACCATACAGTGTTTCTATGACATCCGTGACACTGTCCACAGGTTTGTTTAGCTCTGACTGACCAAGTTACAGAACATACAAGACATTCTCATAAAACCGACGCCTGTTTAAATTTCCATTATTATGTAACATTTTCTCATTTATAACCCTTCTGCAGGGACGAGAGTCCTGTGATGTTCTTTCCCAAGCGGTACACCAGCCACAGCAGCATTCACTATCATCCTGGAGACAAACAGCTGTATGCCTGGGATGATGGCTACCAAACAATATACAGAGTGGAGACACAGAGACATGATCAGGTCACTGTTGAATAAAGATTTCTCATAATGCTCAACCCAAAAAAGCGTATGTTATCTTTTGATTTAAAAAGCATCTTTAATAACTGCAAGATGTTTGGTAAGTAGCTTGTGATCCACTGTGGCAAGGTTTAGTTATTCTTTGCTTGCAGGGGATGTGGCAACACTGTTAATCATAAAGAATATGCCTTACCTACAGCATATCTTTTATTGTATAAGCTTGATGTTTCTAGTTAACACAATAAAGAACATTTAAAGGGCTACCATGTGTTTTGATTAATTTACCCTAAATGATTGATCTAAATTTTTCAATCAAACCTACTGTGGGTTTTTTTCTCACTGACATTCAGTCTTGTCCATGTTAATAAAAACAAAAGCTGTTTCAGTATTTTCAGTAAGCTGTTCATGAGCCTGTTCCATACAGAGTCCCTTGCTGTGCATCATTCTCCTGAATTCTACTCATCCCACTTCAGCTGTGATTTGTTTTTTAGCTGTAATCTTTTGAGCAGAAGGACCTAGGCAAATTGGAACCAAATGCAAGACTCTAGAAAAAGTCGAGGGGTTCGAAGTCTAATTTAAGCTATGGCCAAAACCAAGTAAGTCAAAAGCACAGGGAAAAAGGCTAAGTCAGCTTACAAAACACACGAGGGCAAACATAAGGAAAACTACAAGGCTGGAATGTCGACACAGGGTTAGGTAAGCTTTGAAGGTGGAATTCTTTCCCATTCTTGCTTGATGTACAGCTTCAGTTGTTCAACAGTCCGGGGTCTCCATTGTCGTATTTTACGCTTCATAATGCAGCACACATTTTCAGTGGGAGACAGGTCTGGACTGCAGGCAGGCCAGTCGAGTACCCACACTCTTTTACTACGAAGCCACGCTGTTGTAACACGTGCAGAATGTGGCTTGGCATTGTCTTGCTGAACTAAGCAGGGGCGTCCATGAAAAAGACGTTGTTTGGATGGCAGCAGATGTTGCTCCAAAACCTGTATGTACCTTTCAGCATTAATGTTGCCTTTACAGATGTGTAAGTTAGCCATGCCTTGGGTACTAATACACCCCCATAACATCACAGATGCTGGCTTTTGAACTTTGCGTCCATAACAGTCCGGATGGTTCTTTTACTCTTTGGCCCGGAGGACATGACGTCCACTATTTCCAAAAACAATTTGAGATGTGGACTCGACCACAGAACACTTTTCTACTTTGCATCAGTCCATCTTAGATGAGCTCAGGCCCAGAGAAGCCTGCGGCGTTTCTGGATGTTTTCGCTTTGCATAGTTGAGTTTTAACTTGTTCTTACAGATGTAGCGACGAACTGTATTTACTGACAGTGGTTTTCTAAAGTGTTCCTGAGCCCATGTGGTGATATCCTTTACACATTGATGTTAGTTTTTCGATACAGTGCCGCCTGAGGGAACAGGTGGGTGCCATGATCACATGCCCATGGTCACGGGCATTCAATGTTGGTTTCTGGCCGTGCTGCTTATGTGCTGTGATTTCTCCAGATTCTCTGAACCTTTTGATGATATTATGGACCATAGATGTTGAAATCCCTAAATTCCTTGCAATTGTACTTTGAGAAATGTTGTTCTTAAGCTGTTCGACTATTTGCTCATGCAGTTGTTCACAAAGTGGTGAACCTTGCCCCATACTTGCTTGTGAATGACTGAGAATTTTTGGGGAAGCTGCTTTTATACCCAATCATGGCACCCACCTGTTTCCAATTAGCCTGCTCACCTGTGGGATGTTCCAAATAGGTGTTTGATGTTAGCCACCTTTCCCAACTTTTTTGTCACATGTTGCTGCCATCAAATTCTAAAATTAATGATTATTTGCAAAAAAAAAAAAAAGTTTATCAGTTTGAACATTAAATATCTTGTCTTTGTAGTGTATTCAGTTGAATATGGATTGAAAAGGATTTGCAAATCATTGTATTCCGTTTTTATTTACGATTTACACATCTTCCCAACTTCATTGGAATTGGGTTTTGTACAAGGATAATTTCAGCTACTGTCAACCCTTAAAAATACTTTTCATTTCTTTTTATCCTATTATTACTCAATCTGCATTAAAATGGCACTAAATGTAGATAAAAACTGCATGAGATTTTCACAAAATGTCCACAAATTACACTTCCCAAGAAAATTTTGAAAGCCTATGAAATCTTCTCTTAGCTTTTGTGGCTCAACTGCAAAGTTTTTTTTTTTTTAACCATCTCTACATGGTGCCAGATGATAGAAAGTTGTCTTTGGGTTGAACAAAACTAGCTCAAATGTAACAACCATAGACTGTATATACTATGGACAACCTGGTTCCGCCTTCCGCCTGTATACGGATTTGAGGCCGAAAAGCTCTCGGTAATTCCGGGTTTTTCTCCACTTCCTTGAAACCAGCGATGCGCGCATTCGGCCGCGCAGTCGCCGAGAGTCCCTGTGATGACGCTCGGCTCAAACAGCGGCCCAATTCCAAACCACCCCCTCACTGACTCACTGACTTAGGTGCGCGCTCATGTGAGCTCTGTAAGGGCTTGAGGGTTGTTCCAAATGAACTCGGTAAGTCAGCGAGGGCTCGGGAACGCCCCTTTCTGCACCCTTTTCGTAAGTCCGTACCGTTGAGGACTTTGGCTATGAAATTGCCCACAATTCATTGCGTTGTGGGCGTTACTGGAGGACAGCGACGCAGCCGGGGCCAGGATTTAAAAAGGAACGAGGCCACAAGCGTCTCAACGTCCGCGACAGACACCAAAAATGACGGAGATCATGGCGAAGAAGCTCAAGAAGAAGCAGTTCATTTAGGATCTAGGTGCACCCTTAATACTCTAACATGGATGTTCCGCATCGTGTATGGTGGGCGCCGGAATGCCAAGATGAACAAGAATGCACTACATTAACATGGATATAATATATATATATATATATAGTACAGGCCAAAAGTTTGGACACACCTTCTCATTCAATGCATTTTCTTTGTTTTCATTACTATTTAAATTGTAGATTCTCAAAACTATGAATGAACACATGTGGAATCATGTGCTTAAGAAAAAAAGTGTGAAATAACTAAAAACATGTTTTATATTTTAGATTTCTCAAAGTAGCCACCCTTTACTTTTTTGATAGCGCTGCAAACTTAAGCTGTTCTCTCAATGAGCTTCATGAGGTAGTCACCTGAAATGGTTTTTACTTCACAGGAGGGCCTGAAGTAACCCTGACAAGGTACTACTGTCATCAAGAGCAAAGGGTGGCTATTTTAAAGAAACTAGAATATAAAACATGTTTTCGGTTATTTCACACTTTTTTTATTAGTACAAAATTCTACATGTGTTCATTCATAGTTTTAATGCCTTCAGTAATGATCTACAATGTAAACAGTCATATAAAAAAATAAAGAAAAGACATTGAATGAGAAGGTGTGTCCAAACTTTTGGCCTGTACTGTATATATATATATATATATATATATATATATATATATATATATATATATACACATATGTGTGTGTGTGTGTGTGTGTGTGTGTATACATACATATATACACACACACACATACACACACGCATGCGTTATTCTTATAACAAAGAAAATTGATTTTTACTTCAAACTTTTATCTGAATCAATACATTTTATCCTGAACTAACACTCTAAAGCAGTGATTACTTTCAGAATCTAGTGCTTCAACCTTTTAACCATTCAATATCACTTAACCTATCATTAATGCTGGTTTTATAATTTATCAATCTAATCATTATTTACCAATTACCTGTTGTCTATGTTCAAGAGCAAGTGTGTGCAAAAGGAGCGGAACAATGTTGGCCTTTCTTCTGCAACGTCGCTGGCCGCGAAATAAATGCAGAATTAAGAGCCCAGAGAGGCAAGTGTCAGTCGCATCTTTGGTTGTCAACGTTGTCGTCTATCGTCAAGGTAACGTGGCACGTCACAAAGGGCTGTTCCATTGATTTTATACCCTTTTGGAGCCCTTAAACCCTCCCACACTCAAGCACTTACCAGCTGACTTAACCTAAGCTAATGAGGGTGCAGGGCTTGAGGACTTAGGGTGGAGTTTGGAATTGGGCCAGCGTATCCCCCGGGTGAGCTACGCAATCCCTGAACGCCCATAGGCTGTACCTGGTGTCAATCATAGAAAACATGAACCCCCTAATAACTTTTAAAAACGGAGCTTCACAGAAAAAAAAGGACTTGGGCACAAACCAGTCTTACAATAACTACATGTCAACATCACAAGCAGGGGGGAGAAAAATGTATGTTCTGTGTAATAAATTTCTAAAGTTTGTCCACAGCCCCATAAGCTTTGCTGGTGGAGGCGGGATTTATGACCTGTACTGTAGCCCACCATCAGAGGGTGCTGTTCTCGGAGTGGCTTCACCCAACGAGGAGGCAGACTCTGTCCATTCTTTATACAGTCTATGGTAACAACATACAACTGACAAGGCAAACGTTTATTGTGGGATATATTTCAGGCAGGATTTTGGAAGAAAATCTCACAAAAGCTGGATTCTTTGACTGTCTTTCATCCTGCTACAAAACATACCCCACCATAAAATTGTCTGCAATGCATGCATTGTTTTCACAATGCACCTCAGCAATCGATTGGTAACTGTAAAATATTGTCAACACTGCTTTTGTTCTGGAAACACCAGTCAAACTTGCATTAGGTGGCAATACATAACTATAAAAATGGAAGAATCTGCTGGTCCGTATGCCATCTGCACATCCATTGGTTTGAAATAGAACAACTCTTGAACACTGAACACCTTTAACAACAAAAACTGTTTGTTTTGATGGTAATGTTCATCAAAACAAAGTCTCTACACCTGAGTCAGTTAATATAACTTGCTCATCTTTTACAAAAATAGCCTTGAGCTTTGAAAAAAAATGGCATCTCATCAGCAATATTAACACATACTATTAAACCAGCCCGATATTCAGTGCCATAATGCTTTATCCAGTTAACTGACTGAATGTCAGTAGATATTTCAGCGTTAGGTTTAGCAGCAATCTCAGGACCTTCTTTGATGTTTATTGGTGGCACCATCTTTCCGAGACCAACTGTTAACCTGCACCGACTGAAGGACTCCCAGTGCAACACCATGTATCTTTGGTGCCTCTTGGCCAATGTCTTTGTTATATTTTCAAACCTTTTTAGTTGAGTCTTGAAAAAACTATGTTTTGCCTCGTATTGCATGCACCACATGTGCAGAATAGGTCCAATATTCCTCATACATCGAGGATAATGTACAATAAAGTGATGCTTAGACAAAAGATTTCTAGAGGGAAACAGATACTTGAAATGCTGATGATGCGCAATAATGATGTGTTTCAGAAAGATGATTATACCATTAGTTATTGCAGGTGAAAACACAGTATTCACAATCTGAAGAAGCAATATTAAAAGATACCAGTACTCATTGTCTCTCTGAACTAGATTGCCAAACATTAACGGCATGTTACGCAACGAACACCAGGTCTATATTGCATTCAGGCCCAAATCATTACTTTCGTCAAATAATTTGACAGCTGGGGGACGATTTCTCCTCTCAGTATAACCATAGTTAAAAGACTCTACTCTGCCAGCCAGTTCTCTAGCAGTCAAGAAGTATTGCATTGCACCACCTTTGGGTGCAATGCTGTTGTATAGACCCCTGGTCTATCTAATCCAATAGAGGGTTTTTGTGAGGAGTGCGAGGTCTTCCAAGGGACCTTGGAGGCAGTGAATTTGGTATCCTGTCAGCAGTTGCGATAGGTTGTAGGCTTTGCAGTGCATTTTACTGACAATACGTTGCCACTTAAAGTACAGACTTAACTGTCTTAAACTTAGTCCTTTAAGTTTTTTAAAACCACTGAAACAGGAGGAAGCCATGATGATCACTATCACATTATCTGCAGTGCAAAATATGACCACTAGGTGGAAGCAGACCGCTTTCAAATTTGAAGGTTACTGAACGGCGCACTTCTCCACCATGGAATCAAGCATGCTTTTCTCTGACACTTTGAGATTGTTGCGGAAACTGGATTAAAAATATCAAACATTTCTGAGTGAAAATAGATTTTGTTTTAGAATGTTACCACAGTGACTGTACAGAGGTTACACACTCCATTTAGGGACACTTTATTTTTTAAATTAGTACCTTTTGGCACTTAAGGAGGTGCATTGCACATGTTTTGCCTTTGTTTTTGAGTGTGTGTGTGTGTTGCATTTGGAAATGGGGGAGGCTTTTTGGGCTTTAGCAACCTTGTTGGACCAGCTCAATATCTGGCTGAAGTGTTTGGCACTAAAGCTCTTATGAAGAACTTTCTGTCTCTGTCTGTGTTGGTTTTTCTGACTCCTACTGTGGACAGGGAATACCTTTTATCTCTTTACTAATCTCATCTTGTACATGGGTATGTAGCCTTTTATAACAACAGATCTCATTCTGCATTCTGTTCAAAGTTACATACATTACTGACTGTATAAAAGTTGGTATGCTGTGTAAAATCTCCCAAAAAAATTGCTGGCTTACAAATTACATGAAGGGGAACTTCAGTATTTTTCAGCCTGGGCCCTATTTTCCTATGTGTTTATGTGTGCTTGACTGATGGAGGGAATACTTTCTGAAATTGGTCTGGTATTGAGGGAGAATGGAGCAGCCAGCAGCCGGTGAACAAACTACAACATAGTTTGACCACGCAATTACGCATTGTCAAACTGTGTCCGCTACAAGTGCTCTATTTTACCACTGACAGGCCGAGATTGTTATTACAAGTCCTGAGAACAGAATGGCACAGGTTTCCCTAACCTTTCACTTGGACCATGATTATTTTGATTGGTATCATGATCATCAAAATCTATAAACATGATCTATTTTTACAATCAAAACAGCCTTTTTTCTGTAAGGAGGCCCTCCGTTCCTTTGAGGTTGTTGCATTTTTGTGTTTACATGTTGAGTTGAGATTTCTTTTCACGAATGACCAATGTAGAATAGTTGTAGTAAAAGTGTTATCATGAACTATTTACATAGCTACTGCCATAAGTTTTATTAATGATAAGATCAAAATATACAATCTCACTTGTATCACATGGCCATACTGTAAGATTTGCTGTCTGAGAAGCATGGAAGTTATGAAGGCTACTCTTTTGAATTTGTTGAAAAGGACATTGTTTCCACAGGAAGTTTTCAAGAGTTTAGATTTCCCTCCTTCATAAACCACTGGCAACTCATGAATATCAATCTGTCCATCAAGTTTGGATATGTTAAACACAAGACATGCCAAAAAAGGCTGTGTTATTTGTTGTGGTTTTCTTTGTATATATTTAAATCAAATCTTTTGTGCTTATTAAGTTTCTTCAGATGCAGCCCCTGCTGCTGTCAGGGACTGCCATGTCCGTTTCTCACAAATGTTGAATATAAATGTCACATGGCCATGGACATGCTTTGTTGACATGGAGTTGTTGTTATGGCAACTCAGCAGAGTCATTGGGTTTGTGTATACAGCCAGTGTGAGATTTTGACAGACTGGTGCACAGTGATTACTAAAATCTAGTTTGTCTTGGAGGACAAATCCCCTTCAACCACTTTAGTGTACAAGTTGTGCACTCCTAGAAAACATGAAAGTTCTGCTGTACAAAACTAAGTATGTTGATCTTATTAAACAGAGGCTACGCTGTCAAGTTGTTTCCATAAAAGTAGCTTTGTCACAGGCAGTGATGCAGCACTTGGGAAAGAGCACATTAAAAAAGGACAGTTAGTAGTTTTAGAGAACAGTTGAATGCCATTTTGCGATGCATTTAATTTTTATTATTTGCACAACAATGAAGTTGCATGATTCTGTATCTACCACTCAAGTTGGACAAATTTCCCCTAAGACAGCACATTTTGTACTGTGTATGTGAGACTCT